AAGTGTGTATAAATGAGTAACTGATAAAATGTGTGTATAAATGATTTACTGATAAACAAGTGTGTATAAATGATTAACTGATAAAAAGTGTGTATAAATGAGTAACTGATAAATAAAAAGTGTGTATAAATGAGTAACTGATAAAATGTGTGTATAAATGATTTACTGATAAACAAGTGTGTATAAATGATTAACTGATAAAAAGTGTGTCAAAGAGGAATTAAATCATATTTACTTACATTAAACTGCCCGTATTCTGAAACGTTTACTCTTTCCAAGTCGTAATAATTTTAAAAACTTGAAGAGATTAGTAGTAACATCATATGAAACAATAAAGAAGGTATCTGTAGTAGTCCTGTGCCAACACCTTCATTTACTGGGTGTTGTAACAATGGTTAGGTTCAATGTTATATGAAAGAGCACTGTCAGCCATGAAAACGAAAATAAGTACTTACAGTACTATAAACTAGACTTAGAGAAAAAAAGTCACCTTTAAAAAGTATGGTAATAATTTATTAACTTGGCGGCGTTTCGAGCAAGCGCTCTTTTTCAAGCCAGAAACAAGCCTCTCGGGTAATAACAATTACAGGAAATGAAACAATACACAAAATAGAATATAACTACGAGAGTTAAACAATATATTAAAAACAATATAATAGAGTTGATGATTAATAACAGTATTTAAAATCATTAGAAATATAGAATACGTCACAAAGTTAATGAATTATTACCACAGTTTTTAAAGATGTTTTATTTTCTCTAAAAGTCTAATTTATTTTATGTTATCTCCTTCGTATTTTTCTACTTATTTATTTACTTACAGTATTATAGTATTATAAGAAGTTTTTTATTTACTAAATAAAAAACTTCTTACAATACTATAATACTGTAAGTAAATAAAAAACTTCTTACAATACTATAATGCTGTAAGTAAATAAAAAAACTTCTTACAATACTATAATACTGTAACTTACAGTATTATAGTATTGTAAGAAGTTTTTTATTTACTTACAGTATTATAGTATTGTAAGAAGTTTTTTATTTACTTACAGTATTATAGTATTGTAAGAAGTTTTTTATTTACTTACAGT